TATTGGAAAGTTCAGTGAGGATTTTCAGTTTTCACGTAAGGATTTAGCATTTCTCAGTTTTCTCCTGTTTTCTTTGTCCTATTTCCTCCCAATCATACAGTTAAACATAGTTTACACTTAACACTGATTCTTTAATTAGTTGTCTTAAACTAATTAGAGAAGACTTGGAGTACTTTTCTTTGGATATGCTGACTAGTTGGCCAACAGACTTCAGTGAAAACTAGACCAGAGGTTTCTATATTCGAATGGTTAAATCAACAGTATTTTGAAATAAATTGTGCCTATCAGATAAAATTTGGAAAGCCAGGTTATTCAAAGAGGTAATTAATAAGACAGGTGAAATATAGGACCTCCAGGTCCTTACTTTTCCAAGTCTTTGTTAAGATGAGAGGGTGGCGGAAAATGGTGACTGTGGGAGGGTTCAGAAAAGGAAGACCATTTAAATGATTAGGCACTGAAAACCTGACAGAAAATCTAGAGTTGATACAACCCTAATCGGTTCCCTAAATTAAGACTTATATATCTTGTGTCCTTAAGTGGAATCCCTGGTATTTTTTTACTTCCTGGAAACAAGATATTTCATTTTGTGCTAGAAGCATGAACATGTTTAATTAAATTGAACTGAGAATGAAAGATTTTTTTTTTGCTTTGTCTTTTGAAATAGCACTTAAGAATTCTGTGCATATCTTATTTAACATATTCGATATTGTGTTTTGTGTGTGTGTCGGTGGAACAGCAGAGCTAGTTAGGTTAAAGATATTTATAAGGGATTTACAGAACATATTTAAATATCTACCTTAAGCTGCCTGCAGACAAGATTGAGATTTTTAGTGTAATCTAAATAATCTAGAAATGTGAGTGTTTAAAATCTGGATTGGACTAGATATTTTTCTCAGAAATTCTGCATTTTGATGGATTTTGTCTTTTAGTTTATTGACAAATTGAATTATTTTCAATAACATGAGGTAGCATATTCTGGGATAGGTTAAGCCAACTTTTTGTCTTTTTAAAAATGGTTTTATTTCTCCATAGCCACTAGACCACCAGGGACAGCTTTTTGTCTTCTGAGCTTTGATAGGATATTACACTTTTATTTTAAAATCTGTACTATTCTGCATAAAATTGCTAGATTGGAAAAGAATTGTAGACCTTGATGATTTCTATTAGTCCTTTTTTTCCTTTTTTTTTTTTCTTTGCTTTTTGTAGAGACAGGGTCTTGCTATGTTGCCCAAGCTGGTCTCAAATTCCTGGGCTCAAGCAGTCCTCCTTCCTCGGCCTCCCAAAGTGCTGGGATTACAGTCTTGTTAATCATTTGGTTTCTTTTACTGTGTGCATTTTCATGTTACTTAAAACAAACTAGATTATTTCCACATTCTTTAATTCAGTCACAGTGGTCATCGGTAGCTTAGATAAACTGAGATGCCATCAATAATTTACTAGTATTCCTTGGGCCTTATTTTAGGTTTTTCTTTGACTTGATTCACTTCGAAAAGTAAAGATCAACAAATAAAAGATCAACAAGCACAGTGCAAACAAAGATCCACAAAGTAAGATATGGCTTAGAGCATGCAGGCATTTATGGATCTTGATGCCTGATGCAAAATTAACACCAGCTATGTTGGAATGAGACTTAGAATATGGATGTAAAGAAAGAGAGAGGGATAGAGAATTCTAGTTAGTTATTACATAAGATGGAATTTTATTTTATAGAAGCACAGAATCTTGTTCTGTCACCAAAGCTGAAGTACAGTGGTGTAATCGTAGCTTACTGCAGTCTCAAACTACTGGGCTCAAATGTTACTCAGACCTTAGCCTCTCAAGTATCTGGGACTATAGGTGCAGGCTACCGTGCCTGTGTGTGTGTGTGTGTGTGTGTGTCCCACTATGCATGTGTGTGTGTGTCCCACTATATGTGTGTGTGCACACGTGTGCACAGAATCTCGCTTCGATTTTCAGACTGATCTTAAACTTCTGGCCTCAGCCTCCCAAAGTGTTGGGATTATAGGTATGAGCCACCACATCCAGCCTACAGTGAAATTTTCGTTCTATGGTCTTAAAAATCTAAGATTAAATAGCATTTCCTTAGGTAAGCTGTTCCCCAAATCTCCAGATTAGAACTGGTAGACCTTTTTGGATTTCACATACATAGCTCCTTCCACTTTTTCTTTTTTCTTTTTTTTTTTTTTTTGACACGGAGGTCTCACTTTGTTGCCCATGCTGGAGTGCAGTGATGCCATCTCAGCTCACTGTAACCTCTGCCTCCCAAGATCAAGCGATGTTCAAGTCAAGACCCCCTTGACTTAAACTCTGTAAAGGCTGGCAACAGAGGATGTTTTGCCAACAGCATCTAACACGGTTTATATTTTGTTGAGTGAATGTCAGTGAAGGAAAAGGATTGGTTTGGTTTGGCTGGAATGTTATATTTATGAAGGAGAATAATGGGAACTTGGAAAGTTAAAAGTGTTGAAAGGAATATGGAAATAAACTGGGTATAGTAGTCTCCCTTTATCCAAGGGGATATGTTCCAAGACCCCCAGAGGATGCTTGAAACTGCAGGTAGTACCAAACCCAATACATACTAGGTTTTTCCCTGTGCACATGTAACTATGATAAAGTTTAATTTATAAGTTGAGCACAGTAAAAGATTAACAACAATAATAATGAATTTGTAGCAATATGCTAGCATCACTACTCTTGTACTTTGGGGCCATTACTAGGTAAAATAATGGTTCCTTGAACACAAGCACTGTGATATCAGGGTGCTTGATCTGATAGCTGGGATAGCTACTATGTAACTGATGGGCGGGTAGCGTATACAGTGTTGATATGCAGGACAAAGGGATGATTCAAGTCCTGGGTGAGGCATTAGGACAATACAGGATATCATCATGCTAGCCCGAACAGTGTACAATTTAAAGCTTATCAATTGCTTATTTCTGGAGTTTTCTATTTAATATTTTCAGACTGGAATTGACTGCTGATAACAGAAAACACGGAAAGTGGAACTACAGATAAGTGGGAACTACTGTAGTTGGGTTGTAGAACTAACCTGCCAGCTATGTAAGATAGATGGAAGAGACTCAAGAGGTAAAGTAGTTAGAAAACTAAGAAATAGTAATGGAGCCTGAACTAGGGTAGTGACTAGAATGGGAATCAATCAGACAGTAGATATTTATTGTGTCCTGTGTATGAGGCATTGTGCTGCTAATTGGTAGACATAACGGCAATGAACGAGGAGGATACGGTGCTTGCACTTTGGTTACATGTACACAGTCTACCTTGGAGACAGATATTCGGTAAAACAACTGTAGCAAAAATAGGTGCTTATGAAAGCACCCAACTGATGTATCACAGTTGGGAGAGGTGTCTTAGAAGGCTTATGAGGGTCTTATTTTAGCTGAGACCTGATAGCTTCCATGAGGATAAAAGACAGTGTATAAACACACGTATATACATGCATGTATACTACATACTCTTAAATATTTTACATGCATATGTAGGTACTCAAATATTTTACATGCATATGTAGGTACTCTTCCATCAGCTGAACTGACTTAACCTACTTACTAAGACTGGTGTGTTTTTAATTCTGATAAATTAAGCACTGCAATGGCCCTCTTCAACCTGATCATAAAATTGGAAAAATACAAAATGCAGATTGATTGATATCAAATAGTATTTTAGATCAAGATCTTCATGGTCTGGTGCACTCCCTCCATCTCTTTTATCTGAAATTCAGTGTCTATATATATAGACATATACACACACACACTATATATAGTATATAGCTCCAGAGAGTGCCCCCACAGTTTATAGCACAAACATACACAATGCCCCTCAGTTTTATTTATGTTTTTCCTGAGATTATACTTATTACTGATGCTCCTTATAGTAGGTTTACTTTTTAAAAAATTTTATTTCAATAGCTTTTGGGGTACATGTGGGGTTTTTTTGTTGCATGGATGAATAATATAGTGGTGAATTCTGAGATTTTAGCTCATAGCTTAGCTCCCACTTATAAATGAGAACATAAGATTTTTGGTTTTCCACTCCTGCATTATTTCACTTAGAATAATGGCCTCCAGTTTCATCCAAGTTGCTGCAAAAGACATTATTTTCTTCCTTTTAGTGGCTGAGTAGTATTCCATGGTTTATATATACCAGATTTACTTTATCCACTCATTAGTTGACGGGCACTTAGGTTGGTTCCTAAGTGAATTGTGAATTGTGCTGCTATAAATATATCTATGCAAGTGTCTTTTTCATATGTCTTCTTTATACAAAGAAAGCTTTATACAAAGGTTTCCTTTGTATAACCATTATGTAGTTGTCCCTTGGTATCCTTGGGAGACTGGTTTTAGGACCTTCCTGGATGCCAAAATTCAGATTCTCAAGTGTCTTAAATGAAATGGGGTGATATTTTCATATAACCTACGCGTATTATCCCATATACTTTCAGTCATCTCTGGGTTACTGTTAAAAATGTAAATGCTATGTAAATAGGTGTTATACTGTGTTGGTTTTTCATTTGTATTATTTTTGTATTCTTTTTTATTGTTTGTTTTTTCCCAAATATTTTCTATCCATGGTTTGCTGAATCTGAGGATGTGGGACCTGTGGATATGGAGGGCTGACTTTTAATATACCCTGATACAGAGGGAACATCATAAAACCTCTTTCTCGCTTAGATCATTACTTGTTGAGCAGCTGGTAGATATAAAGTACTGTTCTAGAAGCTGAAGGATTTCCATAAATGCAGAATGTTACCCTACCCTCAAGGATTTTACAGTCCAATTGGTGAATGGAATAGGTCGTGCATAGTACAAGTCAATAGGCACAAACACATGAACAAATCAGACAGTAGGGGTCATGGTATATAAGAGAAAGGTGATCCAGAAATACCGAAAAGTCTCTGTGCAGAGTATGAGTCAACACTGTGTACATAAAACTAAGTTTTTAGGCCCAGTTAATTAACATTGCTGTTTTTACTTTTTCATTAGCATGTTGGCAGATAAATTGAACATGACTCCAGAAGAAGCTGAAAGGTGGATTGTAAATTTGATTAGAAATGCAAGACTGGATGCCAAGATTGATTCTAAATTAGTGAGTATTATGTTAGCTATGCTACATACTATCAGTTCTTGATTATACTTTTGGGAATTCTTAACTAGGACATTTTACTACCTCCTTTAATAATTTATTTTGTTTTAATGTAAAACATTTCTTTGAAGGCAACAAAAGCCTCCTATTTTTTTTCTTACTTGGTAAATATTGTCATCTCTGTATAGTGCATTAAAATATATGCAAAGGTTATGTCATGCTTATTACTCACCTGAGAAACGCTGTCATTTACATTATAGGATCAATTTCCCTGTGTTTCCTTTTAGGGTCATGTGGTTATGGGTAACAATGCAGTCTCACCCTATCAGCAAGTGATTGAAAAGACCAAAAGCCTTTCTTTTAGAAGCCAGATGTTGGCCATGAATATTGAGAAGAAACTTAATCAGAATAGCAGGTCAGAGGTAAGAACCACACATTTTCTATTCTGTCTGGGATTTAGCAACCGTGTAATTGTTACATGAAGTTTGGAAGTGTATTGATATGAGTTGTAGCTGATTTTGTTTTTCTCTTTAAAGATATGAACATTTTAAGAAATTACTAAACAAATGAATTTTTTCTTAGATGCATTATTGTGTTCCTAGTTTATTATAAGTATTTTTCTTTTGCTTTGACTCTTCAAAAAGAAATTGTGTTCCTAGTTTATTATAACTATTTTTCTTTTGCTTTGACTCTTCCTGTGTGACTTCATTAACTCATTTCCTCAGGGTTTTCAACACATCATTTTGATACTGGCAGATGATAACTTACATGTGTAGCCCTCTTTCAAGTGTTCGAAATATGTATTCCTTCTAAATCTAAAGAAATAGTTCTGTAAAAATGTTGATCTTATTATATGTATTAGTGCTGATCTTATACAAATGTCATTATCTTTCATCTGATATTCACATCAAAAATTAATCTCCCATTTTGGGAGATTAATTCTGCATGTTAGCAATTGAAGAAACTTGAATGGCCTTATAATTTTGGAATCCTAAACTATGTTGTTTACACATTATGATTATGTGTAACTGGAGGGTCGGAAGTCATTAGGAAACAGTTGTGGGATATGCAGAAACCCTATTTGATTGAAGTTTTAGGAACAAATTTGTGTCCGTGGAATAGTCCTTTAGTTCAAAAGGGAAGGATGCATTAGAATTTGAATTGCATATTTTAACCAAGTTTAGAATAACTGAGCCTAGAAAATAACTTTCATATGATGTTTTTTTCTGTATGCTTCAGGATTAATTTGTGTTGTTTATTGTTCCAGTATTAATGATACCGTTATTGCTATACATTTTAATTGGCCATATACTATACCAGATAATAATTTTGATGTTTGTTTTGTCCTAAGTGGGACATCTGACATCTAGTAATTGCAGGAGTTAAGATCTTAGAATGGTTTGGCAAGAGTAGTGCTAAAGTAAATGCTGTGTCACTTTCTTGTATGTTAGTTTTTTTCCGAAAGTATTTTCTTTTCACTCTGTTGATTTCTTTTTGCATATTTTAGGCTCCTAATTGGGCAACTCAAGATTCTGGCTTCTACTGAAGAACCATAAAGAAAAGATGAAGAAAAAAAAGAGAAAAGAAAGATGAAATAATAAAACTATTATATAAAGGGTGACTTACATTTTGGAAACAACATATTGAGTATACATTTTGAAGAATTGGAATAAAATTGACTGATTCATTTTATCTTGCTGTCAATTTTCTTGCATGTGCAAGTTTGTGTTTTTTTAACTTTCTTTTTTGGAATAATTACATTCGGAGGAAGTTGCAAAATTAGTACAGAGAAGTCCATGTAGGCTGAACCCTATTTCCATCAATTTTTTCACTTTATGTTACTGTGGTACAGTATCAAAACCAGGATGTTGACATTGGTACAGTATGTGCGTGAATAGCTCCCTATCATTTTATCATGTGTAGATTTGTGTAACCATCACTGCAACCAAGATAGAGAACTATCATCATAATCTCCCTCATGCTACGTTTTTGTAAGCCATACCTATTCCCAACCAGCTCTAACCCTAGGAACCACTAATCTGTTCCTCATCACTGTATTTTGTCATTATGAGAATGTTATATAAATGGAATTACATAATACACAACCTTTGAGATAAGCTTTTTTTCATTCATCACAATGCTCTTGAGAGCCATTCAAAGAGCATGGAGACCTCCCAATACTGAACTTAGCATGGGGGTCTACAAACTTTTTTTGTGAAAGGCCAGATATTAAATCTTAGGCTTTGCAGACCATATGTTCTCTGTTTTAGCTATTCAACTCTGTCATGTAGCACAAAAGCAGCCTTTGTATGTAAATGAATGCTTATGGCTGTGTTCCAGTAAAACTATTTACAAAAACAGGCCAAGGGCCAGATTTGTTTCACCTGCTGTGGTTTCCAACCCTTGGCTTGGGGTATTGGTACTTCTAAGCTTTAGTCTAAGGGTGCTGAAACTAGGAAGATTATTGGTTAGAATAAGCCAAGTGCTATTTTTTTTATTCATCTGTAACCAGTATTGTGAAGATGCCAAGTATAGGGCAGGAAAAAATACATATAGAAATATAAAGAATTCTTGGTAGTACAAAATGGTCAAGGATCATGGAGAAAATACCAAAGTGTTGCATCAGTAACAAGGTAGAACAGTAACAAGATAGACCCTTTATATATGTAGCAGCTAATTCCATGAATTAAAAGTTCTTTATCAAATAGATCCATAGTTATTATACAGAACTATATGAAATGGCATATATTACTCAGGCTATGTAGAATTGAGAAAAATGTTCTCAGTTGAGAAGGAAGGAAACAAGACTTCCATGCTTCCTCCTTGACCAGTAACCAAAGGGCCAAAAGTTCCTACATGGAGACATCATTAATCACTGTTTAAGACTGTAGCTCAACCAAGCCACATTAATAGCTAACAAAGATTTCTGGATGCTTACATAGCTCAGCAGCTAAAAACAATTATTAAATATGCCCGTGGACTAGTAAAAGCCCCAGGTAGGAAAAATAGGAAGCCAATAATAAGTATTTACCATGTGTCATAGGAAGCCAGTAGTAAGTATTTACCATGTGTCAGGCATTTTCATGTCCTCTGTTTCTCTAAATAAACTAACCTAAGGAGAAGGAAAGGAATCTTAACATCTGAATGCCTTGCTTAAGCCTGGAAATACTAAAATTTAGGTGGTATTATTTATATGTTATTGATGAGGAAGCATACTCAGATGGCTGCCTAAAGCTGGAGTCCCCAGCCCCTGGGCTGTGGACTGCTACCAGTCTGTGGCAGCATTCGATTCTCAGGAGCATGAACCCTAGTGTGAACTGAGAGCATGAGAGGGATCTAGGTTGCGCATTCCTTATGAGATACTAATGTGGCCTACCCCCGATTTGTGCAAAAATTGTCTTCCACGAAACCGTTGCCTGGTGCCAAAATGGTTGGGGACTCTTGGCTTAAGGTAATACCTAGTGCCAGTTAAAGTAAGGAAAAGACTCTCCAGTTATGTCACACTAACCTTCCTTACATGATTCGTTGTTGCTTTGTAATTAGAAATTGCAAAGAGTTAAAGGATACATATTTAGTAGGTTGTGTGAACAGGTCTTGATCCACCAAACTCTAGCTGTCTCAGCACCATTATCTTCCAATAAGAGCAAAGGGTACTCTTTTTCTACGGGTATAATCATTGGATACTAGTGGCCCCTTACACGCAAAACCTATTGGAACATAGCTCTGAAGAACATCTCTTTGATTTTTCTTTTTTCTATTTATACTCTGCTCCCTCAAGATTATTATATGAATAATTAATGCTCACTTCTACCACTTGTTTTCTTTTCACATGTTGCCATCAACTTGAAAGATGATGCCACTATGGATTACTATTATCAATTAGAAAAAAACTATATACAACTAATGGCCATTTTTGCACATTACCAATACTTGCTCATCTTGAAAACTCATTTTTGAAGTTTGCATAATAAAAGTTACTTGATTTGGGGCTTAACCTTAAGTTTTGATAACAGGCTATTCCAGTAAAGTATTGAGCACCAAGTAAGTACTCATTTTCTTGTGCTCTTTTTTTTTCCTTTTCTTGCCATTCAGTAGATAGTACATCCTCCTATGTGTTAGCAGCTTTTATAAACACATCAAAGAACACCATTCATGAAACCTATGTTAAAATGTTGCTTTGAGTCCTTTAAAATTTTTTCTATGCATTCATAAACATACGTATTTGTGCTTTAATATGAACTATACAGGAGTATTTGTAAATGTCCAGTTTACAGGAAAAAAAAAAACAAAAAAAAAAAAAACCATGCATTTATCCAGTACCAATGCTTCGTACCTGCTACTGAGCTTAAGAAATAGAATGGTCCTAGTAATTGGTCCTGTGGGCCCCTCAGTAATTGTATTTTTTTCTTTGTCCCTAAAAAGTGAACACTACCATAACTTTTGTGTTAATTTCCTTGTTTTTATTGTTTTATTACATAGCATACACACATACAGACCATATATACACACAGTTGACCCTTGAACAACATGGGTTGAGGACACCTATTCACCAATAACCCAAAAGTCAAAAATTATTACATGGAGACACATAGAGTCAAAAGTCCATGTATAACTTACAACTTCCCCAAAACTAATAGCTTAGTGATAAACAGTTGATTGATTAACAAATATTTAGTATATTATATACTGTATTTTTACAATAAAGTAATCTATAGAAAAGAGTGTTATGAGGATATAAGGAAGAGAAAATATACTCAACATTGATTAGGTAAAAATGGGTCATCATTATAAAGGTCTTCATCCTTGTCTTCACATTGAGTAGGCTGAGGAGGGGGTTGGTCTTGCAGTCTCATGGGTAGCAGGGCAGGAAGTGGAGGAGGTGGAAGTGGAGGCATGAGGCAGGCACACCTGCAAATTGAAGGAAACACTAATTCAACGTTTTTGCTTTTTCATTTTTCTCAAAATATTTGTATATGATACTCATCCTTTTTTCACCATTTGTGTAGTTTTTAGTGCCTGTATCAGAAGGGTCTATGCCATGAAAGAAATCGAAAGCAATCTTGAATAATCAGAACCCTTCTGTCAGATTTCTAACGTCGATTTGTGTTCTGGCACTGTTGCTTCTGCATTGTCTTATCTGGCACTGGTTCAGAAACACATCTCCCTCGAGTCGTGTTTTGTTAATTCCTGTAGTATGGTGTCTGTTAGCTCTTGAATTTCTCCAAGATCTGTATCTTGAAACCCTCCATCCCCCACTTTTTTTGCCATATGCATAACCTCTTTCATGATTTCCTTTATTGGTTCTGTTGTAAATCCTGTGAAGTTTTGCCCTACATCTGGACACAGTTTTCTGCAGCAGGAATTCATTGATTTATTGTTTTGGGCATGATGGCTTTCACGGCTTTTGTTGTTGTTGTTGTTGTTGTTGTTATTGTTTTGGGCATGATGGCTTTCACGGCTTTTGTTGTTGTTGTTGTTGTTGTTGTTGTTGTTAGAACAATGTATCTTCAGTGGTGTAATCCTTCCAGACTTTCGTCATGTTCTCTCCATCTGGGTTGGCTTCCACAGCATTGACAATTCTTTCCATAGAGTACCATGTGCATTGAGGCTTAAAGGTCCTTATTACCCCCTGTTTGAGAGGCTCAAATAGATATAATGTGTTTGGGGGTAAGTAGACCACTTGAACACCTTTAGTGTTGAACTTACAGACTTCTGGTTGGCCAGGGGATTGTCCAATATCAAAAAAACCTAAAAGTCAGTCTCTTACTGGCAAGGTACTTCCTGAATTCAGGGAAAAAGCACTAATGGAACCAATCCAGAAAAAGGGTTAAAGTTGTCCAGTCTTTCTTGTACAACCAAAAGACTGGCAACTGTTGTTTATCTTTTCCCTTCAAGCTCAGGGGTTAGCAGGTATATTGAAAAGGGCGGTCCTGATCATGACTGCTTGTGCATAAGGCAGTAGAGTTAGCCTATTTCTTACTGCCTTAAATCCTAGTGCTCACTTCTCTTTCTTAAGTGTACTTTTTCCCAGAATAGGGCAGTTTTGTCTGCAATTAAAAACTTGTTCATGCAGATATCCGTTCTCTTCAGTGATTTTCTTAGTGTCTGGGAACTCATCTGCTACCTCTTGCAGCAGAAGCTGCTTCTCCTATCTTGACACTTTTTAAGCCCATCCTCTTTAAAATTATCAAACCGTCCTTTGCTGGCATTAAATTCTCCAGCTTTAGACCTTCACCTTTCTTTGGCTTTTAGTTGTCATACAATGACCACTATGTCTTGAACCATATTAGAGTCTGTAGCTTTGCCTTATAACAATCCTGCACCCACATAAAAACTGCATTTTCAATATGAGATAAAAACATTCCACAAAAAGTACAAGGTTTCTGTACCTGCTGACATAGCTGCAGCAACAGCTTTACGTATTTCCTTTTCTTTTTTTTACAGTAGTTCCTAGGCTGGATTCATTTATCTTGAAATGGCAGGCAATCCAGATGAACATCTCAATTTACAGCACCTATCAAGCAATTCAGCTTTTTCTTGTAATGTCATGACTTCTCTCTGCTTCTTGGGACCACTTCCAGGACCACTAGTGGCATTTTGTATGGGCTCCATGGTGTTACAGTATTGTACTAAATGAAAAATACATGAGAACCATGAAAGATCACTTTTTACTGCAATATGCAATTTACTGG